GGGGGAGAGAGAGAGAGAGAGAGAGAGAGAGAGAGAGAGAGAGAGAGAAAAGACTTACTACCGTATGTTAGAAAAAAATCAAGGCGTAGAAAAGAAGAAAAAAATGAGATGAGAAGAAAAGGAAGCAAGTAATCCAGCCTAACAAGCTTAACAGGTATGGAAGTCGTCAGGTAGATAAGTGAGTCCGGTTAGCGAAGTAAATACCTATATACCGTATCATTGAGGTGCTAGGTATCCTCTTCTTCCCTTCTTCTTCCCTTCTTCCTTCCTTCTTTCTTCCAACAACACCCTCGCCCATGCCATATATCTATCTCAACTAGTATACCCCTACCCTACCCTACTATATACATCACAACTCAACCAAGAAATGCAAAAAACAAAGAAAAGAAAAGAATCGTTGCACAGTGTACATGTATGTAAGATGTATATATCAGTAAGGTAAGGCAAGGTAAGGTATATCTGACATCTCTTCTCTTCTCTTTCTTCTTCTTCCACCAGCAAAATCTTTCAACAACGAGGGACATTCCTCATTTTTTATTTTGCTGGACTGACTGCTAGCTGCTGGCGACTGCAACTCGTCGTCGGAGAAAGGAGGAGAAAGCATCATCATGATCCATATGTAGGTAGGGTACCAATAATCTAGGACAACAAGAAGTTCGAAGGTCTCAAAAATTTCCGCTTTTCCTTCTTTCTTTCTATCCCTCATGCTACTCACTCACTCCCTCACAACCCGACAGCAAAAACCGCAGCCAAAACACCGACAGTCATAACCGCAGCGGGACTGAAAGAAAGCGAAGCAGCACCACTCTCATTTCCACCACCAGTAGAATTACCTCCATTTCCACCATTTCCACCCGAACCCGAAGCAGAGTAATTAGTATCTTCCGCTTCAGTAGTAGAAACACCATCCGAAAGATCCGCAGCAGTAGTCGTAGGAGTTCCCGCCCATTGAGTATCAGCGTCGAGGCCCGGACCAGCGCCCGCACCGTCCTTCATAAACTTCTCCGCGCCCTCGGGCATAGCAGGGAGGAGGGCGGTGCTGACGTGCCATTCGTCGGATTCAGGAGGACATTCGGGGACGGGGCGAGCGTCGCGAGTGGCACCGCCGTCTCCGGTGGGGTTGGGAGTGGCGGCGTAGGCGGCTTTCAGGCGGTCGAAGTCTTCGTTGGGAACGGCTTTGCCGTCAGAGCCCATTTCGACGAGACCGTAGCCGTTGGCTTCGAGGGTGTATTCGTATGCGAGACCGCCGGAGTAGGCGATTGTCATGTTTTCGGAGTAGAGAGCGGCGATTTCGTTCCAGTCGCGGCGGTTGGTGATGCAGCCGAATTCGGAGAGGAAAATTGGGAGAGAGTAGTTCTTGTAGGTTTGCACTTTTTGGTCCCAGCCGGACTTGCGGAAGTCAGAGGGGTCACACCAGGAGTAGTCGTTGAAGGCGAAGAAGTCGGAGCGGGCAATCTCGTCTTCTCCACAGGCGAAGTAGTTGGCTTGTGCCTCGATGTTCTCGGCGACATCTGCGGATGAGTAGCCGACGGGGATGGGGCGGGAAGACTGGGCACGGATGTAGTTGCGGATGTCACGGGTGACGGCCTTGATGTATGGAGCGGCGTTGGTGTTGTTGCGGGCGTTGATCACCTCGTTGGCCGAGAAGAAAAGAAGAAGGTTGTCTGGTATGATGGGTTAGCAAATAAATAAAAATGCCAGCGCGTGTACGCTTGGAACCGATATACTCACTGTAGCCCGCAAAGGCATCGACCGTGGCAAAGACGGATTGCAGGTAGACATCGTTGTAAGAGGCGTGCAGCGAGTCAATGTTCTCGCGGTTCAGCGAGGCCTTGGGAGTGTTGACATCGAGCGACAGGTAGATGCCGGCATCGTCCAATAGCTTCATTGCCTCGTCGTGGTTGGCACTGTTGTCGATGGTGTAGATGCGAATGGTGTTGATGCCCAGCTCTTTGAAAGCCTCGACATCGTTGCGGAACGTGTCGAGGTCCAGCATAGGATCTTGCGCATCAGCAGCACCACCGGGCTGGTATGCAACACCGCGAATGTAGAAGCGCTCGCCATTGGACGTCCAGAAGGCGTTGCCCTCGGATGTGACTGTGGGCAGGTTACCACTCTGTCGAGGAATGATCTTTGCGGATGTGAGCGACGCTAGCGCCAGCGCGGCGGCACTGAAGGTGCCCTTCATTGTGAGTTGTGGGGAGGGATTCGTGCGGGTTTCGTGAGTGAGTAGTTTCCGTGGAGCGAGTGACTTTGGTTGGGAGGAGAATGGGAGAATCAGAAGAAGAAGCTGATGGCGGACGGCAAGAAAGAACGAGCGTAACGACACAAAATACGGGACAAGGAATAAGCAGCAAAGGTGGTGGTGGTTGAAGGAGTGAGTGAGTGAGAGAGAGTGCTGCAATTCTTCTTAACTCCCATGAGCCCGGCCAAGACCCAAGACCATCCAAGCATTGGCAGGAGATGATGGATTCGTATGCGCCGAGCGATCAGCCTCAGCCCCCCGTTTCAACCATCAATCATCATATTGTTGCAATCGACTGTCGATATCAATATCATGTACTGCCTGCCGGACCGCGTCGGGCAATGACATCTTTTCTGTTTGTGCTTATTCGAAGCCAATTGCACCTCGCAGACGGAATGCTGCTGATGCTGATGATGAGCTGATTCAACTGATATTTTTTCTTTTTCCCCAGCTCCCTGCAACGTGTCCATCCCAAGCGAAAGGCAGAAAGTCAAGCACTGCACGGCCACTTGATCACCAGTAATCCCATGAGCGGTGCCACAAATAATAATACCATGTCCGTCAGTGCCACAGCTCAGACTCTAAAAGAGTAAAGGAGTTGGCGTGACGTCCGCGGTTGCGCTGGTCTCTGATGGTTTCGTGTCGGCGCAGGCTTGGTGTGTCTGGTGTCTTCGCAGGGGCAAAAGATGATGCAGCTTGGCAGATTAAAATACGGGTCCAATCTTGCCCAGGGCCAGGCAGGGGGCGCGAAGATCTCGGCAGCACCTCCTTAGCCGCTTACTCTGTGACCAATCAATCCATCCATCAATGTGTGAGAACCCCCGACACACCCCCGCCGGCAATCATTGCGTTCCACACGTGTGTGATGGATATGAGAGCAAGCAAAGCACCCTCCACCAACGATTCGATTTGAATCAAATCGTGACTCGTTGAAATAGCCAGTTAGCCACCGACTCTGTTCTGTGTTTTGCTGACGTCGAAGGGAAGGTCTCCTACATCGAAAACCGGAACCAGCGGTTTTGGAATCTCCATCATTTAAATGGTTCCAGTCAGACAGAGTGACTAACCTCCCTCTCCGCCCTACCATCATCTGCCACCCATCACATCCATCGTCAACCTGACGAGCGATACGCCGGCTCTGCGATTCGCTGCTCGTAATGTACAGTAACTGTAGCGGCGATTGGCGGTAATCCCTCCCTAGCAGGGTATATATTGACTGCTGCAGAATGTCCACGTTGAGTAGGCCACACTTGTTGAAATGAGTGAAGGTGTTGATGAGAGAAAGAGAGAGAGAGAGAGAGAGGGGCATTGGAAAAGTCCTAGGTGCCGAGAAGGAGAGAGAGAGATAGATATCTTTTATTCCCATCCCCCACCTACGTACTACAAATATAGTCAATTCAGTCGGAGCTGACGCGTTCATTTTTGGGACCACTATGTCCGAAGTTTGCGGGAGCGTCTGAGATTTGTGATCACAATACTTGGATGATTGTCATTCGTTTGCGGGCATGTATCATCCTCTCTGGCTGACCGGCTGACTGGCGTGGGACATTGGTATCTATCGAGAAGGAACTACCTAGTTTATGTAGAGAGCACAATGGAGAAGAGCTGCCTGCGGAACTGACAAGGACAGGTAAGCTGCGGTTTGCAGACGAGTTCAATATAGGTAGGTCAGGTATACATGATGGTCGTCGTCGTCGTCGTCGTCTATACAATCAACGATATTTCATCTCAATGGACTCGGACTGTGGATATCAAATTACATGTACCTATACAATCAACGATATTTCATCTCAATGGACCTTACCTTACCATTCGGGAGATGGAAAAAAAGGAAAGAACGGGATCTCGAAGCAGGTATTAATGACAAAAGAATACGACCAGCGCTACCTACATACCTACACACTCTTTGAATACCTACACTACATAAAAGAACCATTCGACATTCCTTTCAGTACAACCCGTCTTCGTTTCACTGCTTGTTTGCGGTAGGAATGCCCAACATTGCGACCCAGTCGGGAGTTTCACTATACATGATATTAGTACCAATGCATACAGCACAAGAGTTCAGCAAAGAGACCAAACTCACTCGGAGGCGGCAGCGGCCTTGGTCACTGCTGCTGCTGCGGCAGCATCGGGCAGGGTCGCTGTAGTGGTCCCAACATACACAGTAGTCGTGGTGGTACGGCGGATCGTGGAAGTTCGCGTGGTACTGCTTCATCATCAGCCTCGATTCTCGTCTTCTCCGTAAGGTAGTAATCATCCCAACTCAACTCACCGAGGTCTCGAAGAAGTGGTGCTAGACGGAGCATTTTTCACAGTGACGGTCAAGTATTGCGTTGGCGTAGGACTGACACTTGTCACGCTCTCTCTCTGCGTTGTCATGATCTCGGTGGCGTACTCAAACTCCATGTCGGTCGACATGGAGAATGTCGTGAGCTGTTCTGTAATGTTGGCGATATACGTCTCGACGATAACCTGGCTCAGACCATGCAGGGTCGTAGAGATGTTCACAGAAGTGGTCCGCGTGGCCGATTTCGTGATGAGAGATGTCTTCCACACCTCATACTGGTGAATGCACTCCTCTGTGCCGTTGGCATACAAGGCGCAGACCTTGAGATCGACGTCAGATGGAGCCATACCAGCAGTGACGGCTTGCCAAGGTGCGAGATAATAGGTCGTCAAGCGTTGGACCGTGGGGCGCGGAGTGATGAGAGCGCCAGACGTGGCGAGTGCACTGGAGTCGGAATCGGCAGTCGGCGAAGCCAGCACGAACCCGTACTCAGTCGAGAATGTGATGTCCTGATCGCATTTACTGACAGTGTATTTCTCCACAAGGCCTGTCAATGTTGTTGCGCAGACCATTGTCGGGGTGGGGCTATAGATGGTCGTGCATGTGCCATTCCCAGGAGGAATGGAGATGGAATAGTTGCGCCATGGAGAGGTCATTGTGCTCAATGTCGGCAGTGGAGTCGCTGGGAAGACTGCCTGGGGTGGAAGCGCACACAAAGTGTATTGCGGAACATATGATGTTGCGAGCTGACTCTGTTCGGTGATAGCTATCGCTGACGCGCCTGGCGATGGAGTAAGGTAGGTCAAGATCGTTGGCTCAGAGCTTGTCGACATGACTTCGAGAGAGACCGGTGTCGTCGGTGAGTCTTCGATGAGTGGTCCACCTTGCCGACGCTCAATGTTGAGCGCTTCATGCCTGTAGATGTGGCGAGCGTTGGTCTTCTTGGCCTGGAAAGCGAGCGCGGAAATGATAATCGCAACAAGAGAACGAGAATAAGCCATGATGTTGAACGAGAGACTGGCGATGCTGATGAAGTGATGGAGCTAGTGCTGCGAGCGAGAAATGTCGTATGCTTCGGATCGTCGACGTAGATGGCACCCAGTGCTCTACCTGTATTGTTGCAAGTGATCGTGGAGGAGATTGTATGTGACATTCCTTGATCGAAACACACAACAAATACGTGGTCGATGGCCCACGCAGGCGGGGTCCTGGAATGAAGGGACGCTGGGAGAATTCCTTGCATAAAGTGAAGATATGCCAAGACATGCATCTCTCGCCCTCGTCTCTATTCCTCCATGCTCCTCGTCCTAACCCTCTCCAGGCTGGGTGCAGTTCAATCGCTGGTGTCTTCACTATCAGCATGTACCCCGTTACTCTGCTTGTCGGCCGACGCTTTCAACCTCTTCTGTTCTCGTTTCAGGAGTGTGCGGTTCTCCTCGCTCAACTTTTCGACCTTCTCAAAGCTTTTCCTCATCACCTTGCGCAATGATTCGAGTTCAGACTTCAGCTGCTTGTTTTCGTCTCGGATTTTGTCCTGAGCGGTGCCATGTTTGCCATCGTCGAAGGCCATATAATCATCGCCATCAACATCCACATTAGCACTCAGCTGCTTAGGCACTTTTCCCCAGTTCGCAAGCTCCTCGAGACCTTCGTCGAGAAGCGTGGCCGGGAACGTCGGTGCAGTCAACGCGCATTGGAAGGACGTTGCTTCTTGGCCCATTTCCGACAGCAATTGGACATGCGCAGCATAGTCCCCAGGCAGAGCTCCTGTTTCTGAGGCATCGAAAGCTCCGAATTTCGGTTTCACAATCTCGCTGATCCTAATCTTTGGATTTCTGGGGTTCGAACCGAAGTGGCCACTGACTGGTAGGAATATTACATTGCTTGCAGATGCTGGCAGCGGCAGTGGAGTGAGGTTTGCAACGAAGCTTCCGCGTGCGACATCCCAGCTGAGCACGGCGCCTGATACGTGTCCAGATAATACCGTACTTCCGTCATAGGAGACGTCCAGGCTAAGAGCTGCACCGTGAGATGGCTCCGGCAGCTTCCACTGCAATGAAGCTGAAGGCTGTACAGGCTCAAGAGCAGCCTGTCCATTCTGCACTGCATCTAGACCTCCGACAGGAGAAGCGTAGAGGTCCAACATTTGGATATTGCCATCCTCGTAGCCAATGTAGACAGCACGATCGGCCGGATCTAGCGCAGCAGAAAGGGGAATGCCAGGCAGTAGATAAGTTCGCAGAGTGTTGCCAGTCCTGTAGTCCCACACGAGACAGGTCCTGTCTGTAGATATGGAAACAGCAAAGTTGAGGTGAAATGAGCCATGACCCAGCTTCAGGCCCGTGATTGCTGCGTGATGAGAAGAGAACGTTCGTAGTGGTGAGACTCCGCCAGTGTTGGCAAAGGACAAGAGGTGTGGGATTGACCAGACATGAATGGTGGCATCTTTCGAGGCCGAGAGCAAGAAATTGGAGGTTGCATCCACCGCCAGTACAGTCACCGCTTGCAGGTGAGCTTGGTTTGTTGTGACCTGTCTTCCCGTGCACGTCTCCCACAGGAAGATTCTGCCGTCGACAGTGCCAAGAATCAGCACGGTATCGTCGCAGGCTAGAGTGATGGATGAAATCCTCTCTGTGAACGGCACTGTGGCCTCTTGATTGCCCTTTTCGCGATTGTAGACATGGACTACACCTTTGTCGGCTTGTGCGGCAAAGATATGAGTGTCGCTGACAGCCAGGCAGTTGGGAGATGTTGCAGATTTCTTGAACACTGCTCGCTGTTGCGAGAATGGCTGGAATTCGTGGAGAAATATGGCTGCATCCTTGGCCACGTTCGTTCCTGGCGCTTTGGTAGGCACGCCTATCGATGCTATGAAGTGCTCTGTGAGCATCTTCGTGGTGCGTGGTTTGGTTGACTCTCAAAGCATCAAATTCAGAAAGTTCAAACTCGAGATCCGGGAGACGCGTCGGCTCTACTTGCCCCCGTCCGGTAAGTTAGCGGCTGCTTGGGCGATACAATATTTCCTCTCTGGTTGCTGTTAAAAGACGCCGCTCAGACATCGCATGTGGACGAGGAGACAAAATTTTCATGTGCTATTATGCTATAGTTACCGAGCTGAGGTGCACAGACATGGAAGACTGCGCCTGGGGTCCTAAAAGTTGCATGGGCACATCACGTTTCAAATGATCAGGTAGGTATGGTGAACGCGGATGGAACAGCGAATGGTCTGGGTGCAGAGAGATCATATTCGTTCACTTCAGCTATTTTAGCCTGTCCATAGACTACTGTTGGCGCACGTATTGTCGCAGAGGCTGCTGGCCCTGTCTCCGAGCGCCTGCTCTCATGGTCGTCTGTCCGCCACAAGTCTTTTCGAGCTGCAATCCGACCTCTTCAAACAAAGTCCGATCCGCCTGAACTCCGAGCAACCCAGCTTCGCGCTCTACCCGTCATCTCCCATGCATCTTGACATCGTTTATGAGGAGGTGGCAGTTGGTCCGCGGGCGCCCTTTGGTGCACCACTCTGGAAGCCGTTCTTGAACTTGCGGGAGATGAGCTTGAGCGAGCGCGTGCGACCAGAACCGGTGGTCTTTCTTCGCTTGGCCTTCTCACCCCAGTTGTCTGCAGGACTGGTGTCAGTCAAGTTGTTCGCACCGGGCGAGCTCAAGTCGCGTGGGAATCAAATTCGGTGATCAAAATTCAAATGAAAATCACGTACACTTTCGGACGCTGGCGCTTGGGTATCCGCAGTTGGAGCAAGTGTGCTTCTGAACGTGCATGGAGCGGCGGCCTGGTTATCCCACAACAAATCAGCATTGGCCCCGTTGGCTACGCTTCCATTTGTTTCTCTTTCTTGGACGTATTCTTCTCCTGGTTCTGATGTCTCCTCCTTTTACCGTCCATTCTGCTCCTGATGTCGCGACTTACCGCAACGTCTGCACAGAACGTGCGACTTGTTGTGGCGCCTGTCCTCCTGTCAGCATGCGTCTTCCACACGTGGCGTACCTCTTATCACACTCACTTTCCGAACGAGCTGGTACCCTTGGTCATGTTGGCGGTATTTGTCCTGGTCGCTGGGTGATGAAGATGTGGTAGTGAAGTCGCAAGCCTTTCTCCAAATGCAAGCGTCGGCGAAGAATTGTGATGTTCCGATTGTGGGCATCGGCGCAACCGTGCCAAGAGCTATCACGTGCTCCCTCGCTCCTATACTCCATACTCCCTTTACTCCCTCCCCATCTCCCTCCCTCACATTTTCGACACCAGGAAATGCAATTATGCTACAGCGACACTCTGCACACACAGACGGCGCACATTGGAACTTGATACGCGACAAGTACGCATTGGGCGACCATCGCACGAAGCCAGAGAGTGTGCAGCTGTGGCAGACTCACGCAAATGCTGCGATGACCATTACCTGGTATCTCATCGATTCGCGGATGCCTTGGAGCGACAATAATTTCCGCTCGAAAGAGTCACTTGATGAAGGCCAAAAACGATCCAATGACCGCCAGGGTCGAGACGAAATGCAGACTCACGAATGAATGAGCGTATGCAATGATTGAACCTGGTGGAACGGTCATTGCTCCCATCCTCAGGCCTTGAGATCTGATTGGTTGTGAAATACTCGGATGCGAATGTCTCAACTGGCACGACTGCAATCCCCTTACCTCCTACCGGTGGTTGGAGAAGGACATTCATTGCGGTGGCATTTTTTTGACCAAACCAATTGCCAAGATTGTCGCATCTTGAAGTCTCTCACTACACCACGCACACGAAGATTATCAAAACATCGACATCCTGAACTACGATGCAGCGAATCATAATAGCGGCTGCACTGATGCCTCGTTCCGAGATGAATTTCCCCGCCTCGTTAGCAGGACTTTCCACAACACTCAGCTAGACTAGGTCAGATCGGGCCATGAACCGCCCTTTCGAATTCCTCGGCATCGTGGCAAGTGGTTACGCGGTGAAAGATGACCTCATGAACGGCCACAGCACAGAGGTCAAGTCAGAGATGATATAGATCTTGTGGATAGGCACATACAGCCAAAAAAAGGTGGCGGATTCCTACAATTCAGTTGTAAGTGGTGTCGCGCTTTTCTCATTGTTATCGTTTCAAGTTCACTATACCCTCACAAGTCGAGAAGATGAAGGCTGTAGCAGTTTTTGCAACCTTGGTTGTGACCAGCACAGCGTGGTATACCAATCCAATCACGAAATTGATGCGCGAGAGTGCACCAGCAGTCGATATCTTAGAACCGAGCAACGATCCTTGGTATACGGCACCACCAAACTTCGAGCACGCAGCGCCGGGGACAATACTCAAGATCCGAGCTGCTGCTGGGAATCTCACAACTGTGCAGGGCAACTCGAGCGCAGCATACAATATTCTATACAGGACGACAGATTCCCGATACCTGCCGACATGGGCTGTTACCACACTCTTTGTCCCGAATACGACGAATGGCAACAACAAACTTCTTTCCTACCAAATACCATACGATTCCGCAGACGTCGATGCTAGTCCTTCCTATTCTCTTTATGGCGCGAAGCTAGCCGACATTGGCGCTGCATTGGGCAGAGGCTGGTATGTCAATGTACCTGACTATGAAGGTCCTCTGGCAAGTTTCACAGCCGGCGTAATGTCTGGTCACGCCACAATCGATTCCATTCGAGCAGTCCTCCACTCTGGTTTCGGTCTTCAAAACGGCACAAGATATGCCATGTGGGGCTACAGTGGCGGAGCATTGGCAAGCGAGTGGGCAGCTGAGTTGCAAGTGCAGTACGCATCAGAGTTGAACTTCGCAGGCGCAGCACTAGGTGGGCTGACACCCAATGTGACATCCGTACTCGAGATCACCACGGGGACTATCTATGCCGGTCTGATCCCCGCAGGAATCCTCGGACTCGCGAGCCAGTACCCTGATCTGGAGCAATACCTCATGGAAAACCTGAAGCAAGAGGGCGAATATAACGCGACCACATTCTTCAACGCACGAAACCAGACACTCGTCGAAGCGATCGGAGCTTTCAACGGCGACAACATCTTCGACTACTTCGAGCAAGGTTTGGAGACTCTGTCTTCTGGCGTATCCCAGCGTGTGATCAATCGTGATGGGATCATGGGTTATCATGGGGTGCCTCAGATGCCCATTTTTGCCTACAAGGCGATTGGAGATGATGTCAGTCTGATCAACGACACGGATAAGCTGGTGGAGAGATTCTGCGGAGTGGGCGCAACGATCAGATACGATCGCAATACTGTTGGCAATCATGGATCGGAGTCTGCGAATGGCAACGCCCGTGCTGTAGCGTTCTTGGACAGTGTGCTTGGAGGAAGTTATAATGCGACGGGTTGTCAGATTCAAAATGTGACGGTGGGCATGTAGGTTGCCGGCCGGGAGATTATGTTGATGAACATGTAATGACACCAATGTACATATATGATGATGATGCCAACGGCAGTATAGCACCCCATATCTTTACAGTAATAGGTACATCTGTATCGTGCGGACGTGAATCGGGTCTTGGCGCATGTGAAAGACTTTCCGATAGCGTAAGTGAGGCGAACTCCGAAAAATTCCTCCTTCCCCTCCTGGCTCTCCCACGTTGAAGTGGAGGATGTTGTGCATAGGTACCTGTAGGTACAGTTCATGGTTGCAGCAAGCAAGCAACAGCTAGCAAATATGTCTAATATCCCCAACAAAAACAACATCACTACCACCACTCCGTGGACGAGATCCCCCTTCACCAAATCTACCGACGACCGCCTCACGAAAACCCCTCCTTGACAAGAACCCCTCCTCTCACGAAAGCAGCCACCAACCACCATGCCAACCACCACCGCCTACACCAACCAAGAATGGCAACGAATCATCGTCTCCATCGAACAAAACCTTCACATCGACTCCACCAAAATCTACTCCTTCGACCCCTCCACCATCGCTCACACCATCGACCACACGCTCCTCAAACTCGATAGTTCTCACAGCCACTTCGACGGTCTCTGCCACGAAGCCCTACAAGAACATTTCGCGTCCGTGTGCGTGCGACCGGAATGGGTCAAATTGTGCGTGGAAAAGTTGCGAGGCAGCGGAGTTCGAGTGGCTAGTGTTGTGGGGTTTCATGAGGGGACGTATGATGTGGAGAGGAAATTGGAGGATGTGAAGTTGGCGGTGGAGGGAGGGGCGGAGGAGTTGGATTTGGTGGTGAATTGGGGGTGGTTGAAGGAGCAGGAGTAAGTTTGGATTTTACTCTTTTTCAAGACATATCTGGAGAGCTGTATTTTTGCTTTTTGGGTATTTGGAAGAGGAGGGGGGGTTATCTGTTGCGAGTGGCATAACGGGATAGGATGGTATATTGTGGGAAGAAGGCCGCTAATACTTGAATGAAGGTATGAGACAGTATACGCTGAACTCGCAGCTATACGCAAAGCGGCACCACACCCTACTCTGATCAAGCTCATTTTGGAGACTTCTCAATTGAGTGATCAGCAAATCATCGCTGGAACAGTGCTCGCTTCTGCAGCGGATCTGGACTTTGTCAAGACAGCCACAGGCTTTCACGGACATGGCGCAACCGGTGAGTGGTAACCATGACAAACCATCGTTGGCGGTAGGAGGTGCTGACATGAGTTTGTGCAGTGCCTCATGTTCAACTCATGAAGGCAGTGTGTGAGTATTTGGCCAAGAATCCACTTCATGCCGACAGTCATCAAATGCTTGTGAAGGCATCAGGCGGCATCCGAACATATGAAGATGCCGTCAAGATGCTCGAGGCGGGAGCGAGTAGACTAGGCACGAGTGGTGGCGTGTTGATTGCCAGGCAGGCGAAAGAGCACGCAGCAGGAACCAACGTGGGCTCGGCTGAGGGTTCTGGACAGACGACTTCGTCGAGCGAATACTAACTTCACACGACTACATCAAGGCCCTTCCGCCATCAACTGGTAGCTCAATACCGGTAATGAAGCTCGCCTCGTCGCTCGCGAGGAATGCCGCAGCGTTGCCCACGTCCTCTGGTGTCGCGACTCTGCCCAACGGTATCCCTTTCGTAATCACTGCTCTGCCTTCCTCGGAATCAATGCCACCAAGCACAGAAGCCATCATGCCGGTATCAGCTGCCACGGGACAGATTGCATTGACTCGAATGCCGTCTTTGGCAAACTCTGCAGCCAGACCTTCGCAAGGCGTCAGTCACCCAGGCGAGAGTGGTGCGTTCCAGAGCGGAGTATAACTCCTCTCACCTTTAGTCACGGCACTGACTGCACCTTTGCTGCCTGCGTACCAGACGAGGCCCGGCCGCGGACGCGGTGCAGAGATGGAGCTGATGTTTACAAAGACGCCACGATGTTGTCGCTGGAAGTACGGCGCGATAATCGCAGCGCTGTGGTATAGTGGCGTGACGTTGGTCTCCATGATACGATCGTATTCCGATTTGGGAACTGTTGGCGCAGGCTGTACGTACGTTACAAGATGTAGCTCGCTGTCAGCGAAATTACAAAAACACGCGCAGGCAGAGAATTCCGTGGGTTTCTCGACTTACAGCAGCGACATGTACCACACCCGCATTATTCACCTATTTCCCTCTCACACATTGCAATCGTCAGCAACATCGACTCCATCCCCCATTCTGAAAATAAAGAAACCCCCTCCCCCCTTTCACAAAAACCAAAAAAGAAAGAACCCACCACAACATCCAACCCACCCCACTTCTCCAAAACCATCTTCAACGCTTCCTTCCAATCCTGTTCCTCAGTAACATTTCCCTTGAAAAACAACAACGAAGAAGAAATCTGCTGCCCTTGTTCTTTTTCGTCTTGCTCTGCAGAGGCATGAAGATCAAAAATCAAGACTCGAGCCCCTTCGTAGAGGAATTTTTGCACGATGCCGGCTCCGAGACCGGTGGAACCGCCTGTTATGATGGCGATTTTGTGGGTTAGGCGGCCTGTTCGTGAGGGGGAAGGGGGAGACATTGGGTTTTGGGGGAAGGGGGTGGGGTAGGTGATGATGGGGTTGGTTGATTGATTGATGGATGGATTGATCGATAGATGGAGTATGAGTAGATAGAGAAGACTCCAGCTTCAATGTCTATGTACTCCTCATCTGACTTCTTGCAAGTTTGTCTTGTCTATGTTGTTGCTGTTGTTGTTATTCATTATTATGGAGTTTCTCCCCCGCCTTTTCCAGCTGTGTGAGGTACATGTAAGGTATGCATGCATCTCCTCATCAACTAGGTAGGTGCTTGCTTGCTACCTACCTACAGTACATGTACCTGTCTGTAGGTTTACGGTGTTGGAGATTTTTACTCCGCCTGCGAATACTCTGAAAGGGCTTGTATCAAATCCGCTCTCTCTCCCCCTTATCGTCGATAGCCTGCTTAGGGACCTTTGCAGGCGGAGGCGTTTGCTGCATACTCTAGACCTCCTCCTCCTCCTCCTCCTCCTCCTTCTCGCCAGGAGAAGCTGGGCGTGCTTCGAGTTGGAACATCCCGTTCTAGTCGTATGCACATGCCTCTTCGGCTTGGCCGTGCAACGATTCATACATAGGCGGGATGGAGAGGCTAGGTGCCTTGGTCAAGCGGGAGAAAGCCTTGATTTTTTCGAAGAATCAACTAGCAATAAGGTATTGCCGAGACTGAGGTTGTTACTTAGGTACCTCCTAAGGTATCAGCTGATTTAGTATAGTGGCTGGTGGGAAAATAAGTCAAAAGATGGGCAAACAGGTGGAGAAGTGTGGGGCGAGTCGAATAGTCAAGCGCCAAGGGGACGAGAATAGAAGATCGAGAATTCTTCTGGCCCGGGCGGCACTACCGACGTGTCGGATTTGTCGGTGCCGAGTCGGGAATGAAACGTCCTTGACGCCCCCCCTTTCTGTTCCCTTTTTCTCTTTTTTTCCTTTTTCCTTTTCACTTTCACTTCACTTCGCAACAAATGCTGTTGGCGCAGTTTCGAAGGTACCTATCAGAAAGATGGAACCATCGAGTGTCCCCGGCCGTCGCCGCTTCGATGACATTGTTGGGCAAGAATCAGGACATCTCTACGGCGAGACTCGGCCTTGCAGAATTTCTCATGCAACAACCAGCCGCGTCTGCAGCTGCTCCGTGATCCTGCTGAGCCCAATGTGGACATGCTCGACGGATTGGGTCTAGACCATCACGGCAAGCCATAGCGTTTAACGTTTCGGACGCGCTGCTTTCGGCGTTAAGAAAGTGAACTATACCAAGCCACATTCGCTTCGACTACACCTTTTCACGACACGCGCCCAGACCGGACATGTTTGGCCGGATGTCGTCTGCAATCTTCGGACGATGGGTGGGACTCTGCAGAATGCGCAGAGACTACTCGAGAACGGCTGTTCGAAGAATACCTGCTGTAGGGCCAACGAGAAGTTCAACAGTCGCCCATCTTATCGTTGGATGGGGCACTCTCCTCGGAGCCTCCGACTCTTGGGACCCATATGAGCCGGCGCCAACTATCAGTAGTATCACAGGGGGTCGCAAGATCGGCTGACAATCACGCTAGTCCAGATTAGTTCAATATGTTTATTTCAGTGCTGTATTAACTCCTTTTCTCTCTATAGTATTAGTATTAATACTAATCTCAGTCTCTCTAATGCCTGTTATACTCTCTAAGTACTTACGAATCTCGTTATATCGATCTGTATATTATATACTAACGAGAAAGGGGTTTTTTACTAGGTTAAAAGCTAAAGATCCTAAACAGTTACTTAGGCAATAGTATATAGCTAATAGATACGAGGAGGATATACTACAAGCTCTAAATACAGTTAAGAAATAGATTAAGGAAGAGGAAGAGAATATCGAGCTTAGTTTATATATACCGACGCGTAGGCGGAGAAGAGAGGAGTATAAAAAGCTAGGACTAGTACTACCCTCTACCCTAGTTTAACAACTCGATATTATAGCTAATAGTCTAGAGCTTCTTCGTAAGAGAGACTATAAGTACTATTAACGCCTCTCTAGGAGGAGTTACTCTATACTACGGCGATATATAAATACTAGGAAGCTAAGAATCATTAGGTTAAGACAGCGACCTTTAAAGGAGATATTAGTAAAGAATAAGAGCGAGAGACTTCGGTATAGACGAAATTTACGAAAATACCTAGATACTACGGTAGAAAGCCTCTAGGTATCTATTATATAGACAGATAAGGCTTATATCGACCGTACTATAGCTATAAGACAGTATATCTTCCGTAAGGAAGGTAACTACTATAGTTTATATACAGAGGTAGCTTAACCTAAGTATTTGGTACTCTATATTGCTACTAACGTATCCTAGTACTATAAGAGCGACCTCTTCTTCTACAACGACGATTACTAGACTTACTAGACTCTTATTAACCTCTATAATAAGTACAAACCTCGAAGGAATAAGCAGACTAAGATAGAGGAGGAATTCTAAGCTAAGATGCTTAAATAGAAGAGTAAAGCTCTACTAGAGTTTATAAAGAAGGGAAACAGTATAACTAATACCTACTATACTAAGAATATCCTCTAGAGATATATCTAATAGCTTAATAAGTTGAAAATATAGGGTATTTACCTTACTCTTATAGAGGATAGTAATCTAAGCTATAGACACCGCTCTAAGGACAATCTAGCTAGTAATATAAGGAAAAAGTATAGTATTCAGCTTTATAATTATCTAGTACAATTACCTAACCTTAATCTAATTAAAGGAGTATAGCTACTACTCTAAGAGAGGATAAAAAAGCACTATAGAGAGTTACTTTAGAAGATAGGATTTAAGGAGTTCAAAAAAGCTATTCTAGATATATAGGAATCAATTACACTAGATAATATTAGACTAATTATCTCTAAGATACTATAGAGGTATAAGCAGCTACTTAGGAATAGCTAGGTATTAATAAAAGGCTATGTATAGTAGTTAATACAGCACTGAAATAAACATGTTGAACCAATCTGGACTAGCGTAATTATCAGCCGATCTTGCGACCCCCTGTGGTATCATATTTACTGCTCCAAGAGACGCTGCTTGGCATCAGATCCTCTCAACACCTAGATCTCTCGTGCCCAGCCTGATCATGATTCATCGGCCTTCTGGCCGTTGTCACAAGCCAATATCGGCGACTAACTCCACGCACGCTCCACTAGAAGCGGGACATCAACAACTAATAAACGAATGTGGCTATACTCCTAGCCTTGGTCGTTCGGTAGTTGGCACGTGGCGGTCACGCTATACGTGCAACCGACGACTAGCGCTCCGACTGATGGAGCCGCAAAGGTCGATTCATGCCGCCGCAATTGACTAGGAGACTTCTACCTTTCGTTAGGACAACGTTTCAGCCTTGTCCCGTATGCATACCAGATCATGCTCACGCTCACGCTCGCAGCTTCACGCACATGCCCACGCAACAGTCCCGCTTCATGGCTGGTATAAAAGAGGAGGCCCTAGTCGGGACTGCCATTTCGTATTTGCTCCCCCCATCCTCATATCCTCTCACTCTCAAGCTAGTCACCCAGGCAGTTCAGCAACATGCTTCGCCGTGCTCTCCTCGTACCAGCTCTCGTGGGCTTGGCTCGCTCCCAACCCGTCGCCAGCAGCGATACATATGCCCCAGTTGCCGCGCCCGACGCCCTGCCAATCGATGATCTGAGAAACGTGGACGTTCCTACCTATACCGAGACTCCGGGTCTTGCTTCCGCCATTGTCTCCTATGCCACCGAGACGGCCATTGCAGCAGTACAGGCTGATGTGACTCAGGATCCTCTGAGCCAGTTCGTAAGTGCATCAAGATTCCCTGAAGTCGAAGGAAGCTGACAGACAGCACATAGCCCGCTGCGACCGATGTCCCGATCAATTCAGCTGGCGAAGACTCCTCGAGCAACAACAAGCGAGGCCTGGTCGTTCGAGATGCTTGTGACGCGCAGCCCACCATTGCCAACTTCTACAACGTCAATGTAGACGATCCCAGTGCTTTCAAGGCGGACCACACCATCTCTTCCGTCGCCCTCGCAGCACCTACCCCAGCCGGCTACTTCAACAACTTCAAGAACGCCCCTGGAGCCAACAGCGCCTACGCCTACCTCGGCTACTCGGTCGTCAACGACGGCAAAACCGGCTACGACGTGAACTGGTGCGCGGAGCAATGCACCTCCATCAACGGCTGCCTCAGCTTCAACATCTACTTTGAACGCGACCCCATTATCGAACCAGGAGCTGGCTGCGAAAACCCACACGCATTCGCCAACATCAAATGTTCCTTCTGGGGTACCGCCCTCGATTCCTCCACCGCCAACAATTTCGGACAATGGCGCTCCGATTTCCAGGTCGTCATCGCCGGCTCAAACGCCTACACCTCCTCCAAACTCGGCGGGCCCGTCCACGGTTACAATCCTCCTCAATCCCTCAACACCTCCACCATGAACGCCCCTCTCCGCGACTGTTCCAACACCTGGACCTACCTCGGCTACAAACTTCTCCAATCCGGTCCTTATGACCCAAGTCTCTGCGGCGCCGCCTGCGACGCTCAAACCGCATACAATGCCGCTCACCCTTCTTCCACGGACGAAGAACCTGTGAAATGTGCGGCGTTTGGATCTTATATTCTCTCCATGACGAATGCTACGAGTACATATCAGTTGGGTCAAATGTGTACGTTGTATACTTCGGATTGGGATGCGGAGAAGTATGCTGTCAATACGGTTTCGTATGATGATGGGATTGGAGCCAAGTATACCTATGGGTATAGTTTCTTTTATGCGAAGGAGGAGTTGCAGCCTGTTTGTGAGTCCTAAGGTACATGTACCTACCTGTTAGGATTGTTGGAGACATTTGAGAGAGGGGGGGGGGGTTATGGTTTTTATGAAGCGAGCGAGCAAGCGGTGGTGTTTTTTGTTATATACCCTAAGGGAGGGTAAGGGGTAAGGTACACTGTATCTGTATCTGTGGTTTTTTTTAGCGCAGCGTAGCGTAGCGTAGCTAGAGAAGCAGATGAATGAATGAAATGATTAGATAAGATAACATCGTTAACGATATCAATTGAAAAAAACAAAGATAAGTCTCTGCACGCCGTCTCTGCGTGCGATAGAGGCGGGCCGGGGGCCGGGAAGGGGGCAGCTCGCAGTTAACAGGTATAGCTACCTTATGTTGTACTGCCATTTGCTTGATTCTGAGCAGCACTTTTCCTATCTTGTCTTTTCGGTTTCTGTTTCTTTTCTGCTTTCCTGTTATTGCTACTGCTGCTGCTGCTGCTGGTCTTCGTATAGGTATGCACCATCCATTTATTAGATACCAGAGGAAAAGAATCACATGACTTTCCAAAAGGGTGCGAGTTTTTTTCTCCTTTTCCCCCTTTTCTTCTCTCCTGATCCAATATTCCTCATATCGATTGTTGAAAACAAAAAGAGAAAAGGCGGGAGGGGGGATGTAGTCTCACGCTGCTTATTCCTGTATATATATTCTTTTTTTTTCTTTCTAAAAGATTTCAGAATCATGAAAATCCGCTCAAAACATATCTCATGTCATCTCGCATATGTGCTCCACTTCCACTCCAATCAGATTTCCTTCATCTCCTCTACTCTCTCCAATTTCGCAATCCCCTTCTCATTCACCACCAGTTTAACCAAAATCTGCTTCGCCGCAGCATCCATATCCTCCACATGTGCACTCTCCACAACCACAGTATCAGTAGTAGTATCAATAGTATCAGCAACATCAGCAGAGGTACCTATCAAACTCCTCCTCCTCCTACTACTACCACTAGTATTCTCCAAAACATCCGGCCCCCAAAAAACCAACGGCAAAGGCGAAGATTTCCACGTTCTCGCATCTCGAGGAACACCTCTCGAAACCACCCACATCACGCCACCGAAAAACAGCAGAGTCAAAATCGTGAGAGCAATGGGAAGAGCAAACCAAGCCCATTGCACATTCACGCACGTTTTCGTGGTAAATGTCGCTCCGAGGGCGGGTGAGGTGGTACCATTGGCAAAGAGAAGAGGGGGTGTAGTGGGACCGGGAGTGGTGCGCATGTGATTCGTGACAGAGAGGCTCATATTTTGAAAAATGGATTCCGTGCGTTGGAAGGAAAATGTGCCGTAATTGTAAATGTTTTGGAGGAGTTGTGAGCCGGTGACTTGGTAGAGTCTTTTGGTGGAAGCGGTGGATTTTTGGATGATGCTCGTCACGTCGCCAGAGGCGGTTTCGACGAGGTAGGAGTTGAGGGCGTCGGCGAAATCTTCTTGGATGGCCCACATGCAGCCGCGTGCTGCGGTTTTGTTTTCAAATACGCCTAATTCGAGGAGAAAGGGGTCGATGTAAGGGTTGCTGGCTCGTGCGGAAATGCGGACTGCTCCGTTGCCGCCGTTGGTCATGTTGTACGCCATCCAGTCGGTGAGAGACTCCAAGGTGTAGTTGGCCTTGCGTAAGAGAGCGCGATCGCTGTCATCCAAGCATGATAGTTGTACGGCCGCCGCCACAGTACTCCCGCTCGGCCAAGTGCCCTTGCCGAATGCATCGTGCTCGCCCGTGATAGTTTCTTGCATCACACCATTCGTGATATTTGCAGTGTATGTCCTGATACATGGTACCAGTGAACACTCGGCTGCCCCATAGCCCTGGCATCGCCATGTCTGATTAGTGGCCATGTCGTCACACCCTGCTGGAGGAGCCAACGTCACAGGATCCATGGCGGCGACACCTGGTAGGCCGATGAGGATTTGTGAAGGGCCGCGACCAAATCGGCCGCCATATTTGGCATCGGCACCGGGGATACCAAATGTGGCGAGGTGTACTTGATATGAAGGTTCGATGCTGCCGTCGGAGTACGTGACATTCAAACCGTCCGGAATGAAAGTTGTGGTATTGCGTATAGGATTGTTGCCGAGAGTCGTTCCATCGTTGCTCACCACTTGAACTTGAGAAGAAATGTCACGACACCGTGCGCAGCATCCCACAGCCGAGTACGAGGGTATGGTACAGTTTCCGGAGTGGCAGAAAACTCCTTCTTGTCCGCTGTACTGGAACATTCCGGCATTGATCGACGCCTGCTCGGCCAGTGTCAAGGTGATGCCGGATATCTCGCGAAGATCACCTTGGCTCAAGAAGATAGATGCCCGGGGAATTGCAGCTTGTCGTATGGAGCTGTCGACCTGCATACTGCATGGGACGTACCGTAAGATCTGTTGAGTGAAGGGGCCCACGAGCAATGTGACTGGGATCAACACACAACCGAGCCATTGCCAGCCACCAATAAGTGGTGATGAGCGAAGTCTCCAAAGGAGCAGCAGAGCTCCCAGAGGCCCTCGACTCGCTTCATCGTGCAATGACAGGTCATACAACGGCTGTTCTTGGTGATACCAGCGCCATTTGAGCTGAGCGAGGCCTTCTCCAAGTACGAAACCGACAGCCGTTCGTAATACCACGGAGTAGGTCGACAGTAATGCTCCAATCGTGATATAGAATGGCCAGTCGGGCAGCGGATTTCCTTGATAGGGATACAGCGTCACAAATGATGCGACAACAGCAGCAACCGCAAGCAGGACAGCCAATATGCTTTGCCACCAGATATACCACCATACGCGGCTGCGTCGCCGTTCGTGCTTCAGTGGAGGTGGGCCTTGTCGAGTAGAGATCGAAGTCGCTTTGTCGGAGCTTGTCTCGGAATGTCGTGCGCCGGTTGTCGAACCAATGTCGTCGTCTGGGTCGCCGAGCGTAGTGACTGGAACATAGCCAGAGGTAGCGTGCTGGCTGTCGCGACGTTGGTTCACTCTGAGGGCTTGCGATTCCATGGCGAGTGATGCTCGCAGCAATGCGGATACGACCGATATTGGGTGCACATGAAGGAGAGAGTACGCCTAGCCTGCTGCTATTGTGGCAATGTTGGAGTTGTACAATGGGCTGAGTCTGCTGATAGATTAGATATAGCGAGACCGGTCTTTGGTGCACTCTCATGCATCGCCCCGATTGCTGCACTTCTGATAGGGTCTTCTCATCCTGCAGGCGCCGATGAAAGTGATAGCTGCGAATCCTTCGCCGTTCGCTGTTCCTGTGCCAAGAGTGAGTACCAGCCCCAAGGTGGTCTTCGAGGCATGTATACAGTAGTATCCAACAACGCCCTGCATGACAATGGCGGGTGTAAGTTCAGCGGGAATTGTATGTCTGATCAATGCCTTGTTCTAGAAGTTCAGGTTGCATCCATACCATGTACATCTCACATCGAGACCAGCTCACGTTGCCGCCGGTGCGGCGCCTACAGCCTACTCGAGGTATAGCGCTCGCAGGATTGCGTTCCAGCCTCAGCCTCGCGCTTACAGCCTCAGCTTCCCATTAAGCGCGAGCGTAGGACTCTGGTGTTGTTGGATGCCAGTGCTGCACTTCGCGTGACACTGCGTAGAACAATCTGGCTTCTGGCTGTGATAAATGCACCATGGATGGTTACAAGACTTACTAAAGCTGGGCTCCGTTCGCACACTCCTCATCGGCCTACCTAGCAGCGAGCTAGTCATAGTCATCGCCATGTCGCCAAACCGAACGCTCTGCCTCGTCGCTACTCTAGGACAGTTGGGCCTGGTCACCGCCAGCAACTATGCAGCAGGTCCAACACCAACGACATGTGCAATGACTGAAGTCGCGGAACCTCCACCACAGCCCACGCGACCACCCGCTATACACGGGTTTCTGCAGAAGCGACAAGACGCTTCAGCAAGCGGAGCCAACTCCCTCTGCGGATATGTTGGAGGCGAAGTGGGTGAGACTGATGTCCTCCCTCTTCTTTTCACGGGCAAAACTGACACGGCAACGACACAGCCAATCCATTCTATTGCCAGGCGGGATATGACTGTGTGACGAATGGCGAAAGCCAAAAATGGGCTTGCTGCAATGCGGCCGAGTGCAGATACTTCCAGTCTTGCGTCGAGGAATCTTGCGACGAGGCCTGCCAGTCAGACCCATCAGTAGCGAAGTGGTAAGGCATTCGCCCATGACTGCACATCTCGATGACAACTTCACTTACAGACCGACTCCAGCACTGCATCCGGACGTTCATATTGCGCTCAACTCACTCTCTTCGTGCAGGGTGACGGCCCATACACCAATTGGGCGTGTGCCGCACAGAGGGCATCTGCGCTGAGCATGTACTCTCCGGCTGTCACAACAACTGCAAGCAATCGGACTAGCAGTGCTAGCGACACGGCTTCTGGGATCGAACTTCTTCCTACGCTGGACGATACCCTTTCTTTCGTGCTTGTGACGCCAACCGACGACATTCTGACAGGATACACTGTTGAGTCCACGGGCATCACGTCAACGCTATCATTGACGCGTGCGACTCCTGCTTCGAGCACTTCGCACCCTCAGGCTCCCGCGATATCGTCCACGTCGAGTAGCGGAGAGTCTGGAGGCTCCCAACTCCCACGGGGATCGCCCATGTTGACAGGGCTCACGGCGCTGCTAGCAGCACTCCTCTGACGTTTTGTAGCTCCATGCATGAGCCTGACTGTGGTCGTGTGCGAAGGCAACACGTTGTGTCCGGACAATCGAGCGTGTGCAGAGGCTTCATTGCCCGGCGCGCCAACCTCGTCCATATCCGTACGAGGCCGGTCGACTCTTGTGTACATGGCACGTAGTCATAGCTATATCTTCATGTCTCCTCCGCCTGCTCGCTTGTGATTTCTTGCTCTTTGCCTCCTATCCCAGAGGATGTGACTTTGTGATACAAGAACAGATTCCCTCCATGCCTTGAAGGTGGTGCGTGTCCGCCAGACGAAGACTGGGTGCCATGCTCTTAAATCCATCCCAACTGATGTGACTTCTGTATGCCCGTACCCTCAACCCCATCGGCCAGTGAGTCTCACGTATCAGATAGTCGATCATGGGCATCGCGTCGCGTTCTTCTCCTGGAGCCAACGAGCTCGACCGAAATCTCCGGCGCACGGCAAATCCTCGCGCTGTGAGTTGGAAGGCCTGACTTCGCTCGCGTGAACATCACCCGTAACATCATGTCATGATACTCTTCTCAGCTCATCTGAGCTCCTCTGAGCCCACCAACTTCCAGAAGCGCCGTGTCGGAGAGAAGATGCAAGCTCACGATGTCCTGGACCTCGCTCTAGAGAACTAGTCCACCTCTCAAGCAGAGCGCCAAGAACGGCCAGCCCAGCGAATATTTGCTCAAGAGGCGTTCTAAAATCGTCGAGCTGCAGTAACGTGCTCAACCGACTGCATATAAAGGTCTCATGGCCAGCCTCACGCACGTTCGCCCGAGGAATCGGTGTCATTTGAGAAATCTGATGTCTGTTGCGATTCTACAGCGAAAAGTAATTCCGCCCCTCGGCGGAAGTTGGGCAGTCTAAACTCGAACATCAAGTCAAACAAGCCACAAACCATCGGATTGGTCACGAAGAGCGTATCGCTATACTCTCAAATTGCACAAGGTGCGGTTTCACGACGTCAATATCTGCAAGAGTGAGGCTACCCTGCCATGGACGCCGACGATAGCCTTGAAGGTCTCGGGTAGAGTACTCATCTTCAGGGCACCATGCCGCACTTCTACTTGGGCACCTTGATTCGTAGCGAGGATCTGAGACGGCCACGACCGGATCCCACTGTCGGATTCTCTATCTGCTCACGCTACGATCGCGACCGGCCGATGAGGTCTGCTCAGAGCAGCAGACGGAAGCGGAAAGAGGCAGGCGACAACATGTCCCGCGGCCATTGATGGCAGCGAATGTACCACCTACTCTAGAGGTGCAATGAGCGCAAACTGTTTGCCACTGCCTTGCAGATGCTCCTCTTCTTGGCATCTGCAGAACTGCTGCAAAGAATCTTGGCCATATGCGTTACCTTCCTCTTTGGGATGCGGTCCCGTCCAGGAGCTGAGCGAGCCGACTACGCAAAGGGGAAGATGGTTTTGCCTTGGTGGCAATTCACATCCGATGCCGATGTGATAGGCATTATCACCAGAATGCGGATGGGGAAGTGTCTGGTTTTAACTCTCGCACCCGATGTGTTTCTGCCACGCCTATGAAAGAAGCAACTGTAACCGTTGAACAGTATACCGAGCTGGCAACATGTCAACACCAGAGGAACACATCTCAAAGTGCACATTGCCATCATCTTCCACGGCAGTCATGTCTCGTCTCGTGGCAGCTCAGTTCGAGTGCATATATCTGGTACGCGGCCGGCTACACGATCCTCCTTCTCCTTGGCTTTGTTGCGGCTTGGCCTTGGCTATGTGCCAGCAATCCAACCACACATCACTGCGAACCTACATACCAAGACTCTGAACAGCATTCTCAACACCTACTACGATGTCTTGCCATGGCTCTTGGTGGTCAAGACTTACTGCGACAGGAAGGTATCATCGCATGAACTGCTATCTATCTCGCAGCCATACTTCGCGCGATCCGCGCAACAGCGCGCTGAGCACCGCGGCCTTCACTCTATTCGGAGTGGCGACATCGTATAACGATGTGATATAAAATGGAACTGTCCATTGTCTCTCACCCACAGTAGGTCAACCTTCAGCTTCTTTTCCCCGATTTTCTCGTCTCTCCTCGGCAAGATGAAGGTGTCTGCAACTTCTATGCTTCCGGCGTTGGCCGGTGTGGCCAGCGCTGCATACTCCAAGCAAGAATACGTTTCTGGAGTCGTGCATGAAGACATCATGCAGGTATGTTGGTAGCTGCTTGCGTAAGCTTTATGTATGCTGACAATCCACCAGGAGAAGATGAGACAATGGCAAGCCCACGAGGCAGCAGGCGACTATCTCAGCGACAAGTGGTCCGGATTCTCAAGATACGCTCAACAATACCCTATTCAGTGCATAGACGGCCTTGCTGTTGCTGTAGCTGGTGACCCTCTTCAGGTCCGTATGCGCTTGACACGGTTAGCTAGCATGCGCTTACACTTTCTACAGACTTTCAAATGTAAAGATACCGATTTGTATGACTTCAAGTCGCACAATGAGCTCGGAGGAAGCAACAGCTCCGGATCTGGCTCCTGGGGATGGACTTCTGAAGGTCGCGAGTTCGCTGCCATTGGTCAGACCGATGGCGTAGCATTCGCAGAAGTCACCAGTACGGGGACATTGGAATATCTCGGTCGTCTCCCGCAGCAACACACCGCGAACGTCTCACAATGGCGTGAGATCAAGACCAATGGACCGTACCTGGTTGTCGGTTCCGAGGCTCCCGCTCATGGCGTGCAGTTCTTCGACATGCGCAAGCTCCTCACCCTCACGCCAGACCAACCGAAGACATTCGACACCCGCACCGATCTTACTGGCTGGTTCAATGAACTTCCGGTGGGACGATCTCACAACGTGGTCGTGAACGAAGAGAAGAACTACGTTGTTGCCGTTGGTGCTGCTCCAAGAGACGACGTATGCGGGGGTGGCCTGATCTTCGTCGACGTCCAAGACCCCAGTAACCCGAAGCGAACTGGCTGCGCGCCACAAGATGGATACATCCACGATGCGCAATGCATCGTCTACCGAGGTCCCGACGAGAAGTATAGTGGCCGAGATATCTGCTACGGCTACAACGAGGACACTTTGACCATCTACGATGTGACCAACAAGATCGGTAACAACGCCTCCACCATCATCTCCCGAACCCCCTACACGGGCGCGAGCTACACACACCAAGGCTGGGTCCTCGACCCCAACTGGCAAACCCATCTGATCATCGACGACGAGCTCGACGAAGGTCTGCGACCCAACCGCACCAACCCTGAATCACCAGCGCAGGACGGATTCCCAGTCACCTACATCTTCAACATCGAAAGCCTCGAGAACCCCATCAACACGGGCTACTACAAATCCGACACGAGATCGATTGACCACAACCAGTACGTATACGACGGTCTGGCCTACCAATCCAACTACGGCGCCGGACTTCGCGTGTTGGATGTCTCTTCAATTCCCGAGCAAGAGGACGGTTCCGCCGTGGAAGAAATTGCCTTTTTCGACATCTACCCTGAAGACGACCATCTCCCCGGCGGAGGCACTGCCGAGTTCGTCGGCACGTGGAACCACTACACGTATCCATCGGGATTCGTGGTCGTCAACACGATTGAGCGAGGCGCTTTTGTGGTGAAATTGAGCAAGTTTAGTGGTCGTGGAAAGGGCAGTCGATTGACGAGACGGGGTCAGATGTCATAAAAGTCGCCTGTCCGTTATATAAGATGAAATCTCCTGGAAAAAATTATAAGAACTAGAACTAGAGATTAACAACTCCAGCAATGGTTAGCTACCTACCTGTTATGCTAGGTAGTAGATGATGATGATGATGTGATGAAAAACAAATGTATGAAATCAAATGATATCTTTGCAAGAGTAAGGGATAAGCGCTTCTTTCATTCTTTCATTCATTCATTCTCTCTCTCTTTCTCTCTCTCTCTCTCTCTCTCTCTCTCTCTCTCTCTCTCTCTCTCTCTCTCTCTCTCTCTC